GGGGTGATGGGGGGGTGACCTACCAACATTTGGGGTGCTGGGGGAGGGAATGGTTGGGGGGGCCGGTGCCCGGCTCCTTCGTCTTGCTGAGCAGGAACTCCTGCAGCTTCAGCTTCACCTCTGTGCTGGCAATGGCGCCTGGGCAGGGGGGGACACACAGCTGGGACCGGGGGGGGGCGACGACACACACACGACACAGCAGCACATACCACATCCCCCCAGCCCCACTGGGACGCCCACATCCACCCCTCAGCACCCTGTATCACCCCAGGGCCCATAGCCCCTATTGCTCCCCAGTTTCCATCTCTGCTCTCTGGTCCCATCCAAGGCCCCCCACTCCCCGGTCCCATACAAGCTCCCAAGTCCCATCTGGCCCCCTCAGCCGCCATCTCATCCAGTGCCCCCCAGTCCCATCCACGCCCCCCTGGTCCCCAGTTCCATCCAGCCCCACAAGTCCCATCCAGCTCCCCTGTGTGCCTCCCCCAGCTCACTCTCCCGGCTCTTGTCCTTGGTGCGCAGGGCATGGAGCTGCTCCAGGCGCTGCTGCTGCTCCAGGGCCTCCTGCCGCTCCCGCTGCCGCTGCTGCTCCAGCTCCTGCTGCCGACGGGCGGCCAGCGCTTCCTGCTGCTGCTGCGGGGACCCACACGCCGTGGGGGGGGATGGGAGCTCAGGGATGGGCATCCCCCCATCTCGCACCCTCATCCATGCTTCAGGGCCCAGGGGAGGTCGCACCACCCTGCCCCAATCCCTCCCCACTGTGGAGCTCTGTCACCTTGGGGTAGGACAGCCCACCCGCCAGCTCCCCAAGGAACCTGATGCCCCATGGTTCCATCACCCCCAGTAGTCTCCCAACGGCTCCATCACCACAGGCTGATGATGCCCCACAGCTCCATCACCCCCAAACTCCCCTCAATGGCTTCATTACCACCAACCTCCCCCCTATGGCTCCATCACCCCAGAGATGATGCCCCATGGCTCCATCACCCCAAACCCCTCCCCACAGCTCCATCACCACAGGTAGGTGATGCCCCACAGCTCCATCACCCCCAGTCTGTCTCCAATAGCTTCCTCACACAAGAAAGGCAATGCCCCATGGCTCCATCAACCCAATCTCCACCCCATGGCTCCATCACCCTGGACATGGGATGTCCCATGGCTCCATCACCCCCAATCCCTCCCCACAACTCCATCACCCCCAGTACCCTCCCAGTGGATCCATCACCCCAGACAGATGATTCCCCGTGGCTCCATCACCCCCAATGGCTCCATCATCCCAAGCGGGTCATGCCTTATGGCTCCATGACCTCCAAAACCTCCCTGCAACTCCGTCACCCCAAAACCAAGCAACGTTCCACAGCTCCATCACCCTGGACATGAGATGCCCTACAGCTCCACCAACCACAATCTCCCCCCAGTAGCCCCATCACCCCACACAGGTCATGCCCCGTGGCTCCATCACACCAAGACCAAGCAATATCTCACAGCTCCATCACCCTGGACATGGGATGCCCCACGGCTCCAGCACCCACTCCAGGTCATGCCCCATGGCTCCATCACCTCCATTCCCTCCCCACAGCTCTACCACCCTGGACATGGGATGGATGCCCCATGGCTCCAGCACCCACTCCAGGTCATGCCCCATGGCTCCATCACCTCCATTCCCTCCCCACAGCTCTACCACCCTGGACATGGGATGGATGCCCCATGGCTCCAGCACCCACTCCAGGTCATGCCCCAAGGCTCCATCACCTCCGTTCCCTCCCCACAGCTCTACCACCCTGGACACGGGATGCATGCCCCATGGCTCCAGCACCCACTCCGGGTCATGCCCCAAGGCTCCATCACCTCCGTTCCCTCCCCACAGCTCTACCACCCTGGACACGGGATGCCCCATGGCTCCAGCACCCCAGGGAGGTGGTACCCCACGGCTCCATCACCCCAGGCAGGGGACGTCCCCCAGGTTCCATGGCCCCAGCCCACCTTGAGGTGCTTCTGGAGCTGGACCTCGTGCTGGCGGGTGAGGTGCTCGTGCTGCTTCTGGAACTCAGCGAAGAGCAGCTGCTTCTGGAGCTGCTGCTGCTGCTTGAGGGCCAGCAGCTCTCGCTGCAGCTGCCGCTCCCGTGCCGCCGCGTCCAGCCCTGGCCCCCGGCGCTCCCCGCACGCCTCGGGCGCCCCGCGCCCCTCCGCCGGACCCTCCGCCCCTGCGGGCACCCACCAGTCAGAGGGGAGGGCATCTGGGGGTGTCCCAAGGATGGGAGGGGGGCTGGGAACAGCTCAGGGGTCTCAAAGGGATGGAGATATCTGGGAGGAATTTGGGGTGTCCCAAGGATGGGGGAGGCAGGGAGCAGTTTGGGGGTGTCCCAGGAGCAGTTTGGAGTGTCCCAGGGATGGGGGGAGCTGTGAGATGTCTGGGGGCGTCCCCAGGATGGAGGGGACTGGGAGGAGTTCGGGGTGTCCCAAGGATGGGGGAGGCGGGGGG